CTTCCCCCCCCCCCGTTTGTTTTTATTTTAAGGTCAATTCTGGAAAAAGAAGGACCAAGGTCACTTTTCCGAGGGCTGGGTCCAAACTTGGTTGGAGTTGCACCATCAAGGTAAATAGTTAACCTATTGCTAAAAGACACATTTAAGGTACCATCCCAAATGTTGCAGTGCGTTTGTGATTCAAAAGAATAGGTCATGAAGTTATCCCATCTATAAACTGAGATTTCTGCATGTATACCGCACAGTATACATACCAAGAAAAACTTCTAAAAATCTGCTTTACACTTGTATAACACTGGAAGGTGCAGATTAAATGAGGCACTTAAATTTCAAGTCATTGCAAGAGCCACTTACCACATGCTTGAGGAAACAAGAGAAAGAAGTGCAGAAAAATTTGTAGGATTAATATTTGCATTTTTCTATATGATCTGCTGCTGCTCTGTGAATACATAAAAGTGCTTCCCAAACATAGAGTAGGAGTTAGATGCTCAGGGAGAGGATTACCTATCTGGTCCTTGATTGCCTAAATTCTTCTCAAATGAAAAACTGCAGCTGAGGGGGAAAGACTTGCATTGCTGTACATAGCCCAGAAGGGGGGAGTTGTCGGTTTGTTTGGTTTTTTTAAAAAAAAAAACCCAAACAAACAGCTATAAAGTTTGTTTATATTTGGAAGTCTTACAGGCACCTAAATAGTTTCCACATGTACCTATGACTGCCCTGTTCTTGGCAGGGCTGAAGATCTTTGTGCCTAGCAAGTGCTAAAACTTGTTAGCAATCGGGAAATTGGCAGGTGTTCTCTGCCTGAAATTGAAGCAGGTAAAAAGGAACTTGAAAAGTCGTGTACTCCCTCTCTGGCCTCTTGCCTAGTAGGTGGGATGTTCCCCCCGGAAGCGGGGAATGCTATTTCTGTACAGGTATGCATTGCAGCAGGGATCTGAATCCAAGACTGCCTGCTTTTTTGTGCAACTCACTCATGCTGTCTTTTGTGTTCCTTCATATTCTTCCATAAGATTGGAATAAGGTACTTTATGGAAATTCTCAAACTGTGGCCACCAATATCCACCTTTTTCTAGCAGTTCACTTCAAGGAGCTGTGATCTGAACATACTTGGTTCAGACAGCTTCTTATCATATTGACTGTTGCAGATCAGCTGAGCTGCTTCTATTCCTATGCATTATGTAGCGATTTGAGGTGTGTAAAACTTTTTCATTTCAGTCCAGGGTTAAGTGTTTAAAGCACGAAGTGCTGTTAACACAGTTAGTGCTGAACAAATTTATGGAAAACAGGCTCCAGGTGGGAAAGTGACATTCCCAAGTTTGCAAAGTGTGTTTAATGCCAGAGCTGGTGTAGGTATCCAATCTAACTTGCTTTGTCTGCAAGACCATGTTGCTTCCCACCTCAGACTTGGTGTGAAAGTAAAATATTTCTATCCTGTGGGTGTCAAGTCAAATAGGGGTACTGTAGTGTAAGGAGTGAGAAAAAAAACCCAATTCTGTGCCCTTATAGGTGGAAGCAGTCATGCGGAGGCCTCTTTGAAGAGAAAGTCTTGGTTTCCAGGGGGTGTGGGGAAGAGTAGCGATGTGTCTAATTTGACGCTGTGTGTATTACATTGCTTTTCTTCTCTTTCTTTTTTTAATTTCCCCCCACAGAGCTGTCTATTTTGCATGCTACTCCAAAGCCAAAGAGCGATTTAATGGCATTTTTGTTCCCAACAGCAACATTGTGCACATCTGTTCTGCAGGTTCTGCAGGTATGTATTTGTAATTCATCTTCCATACAGTCTGCAGCAATACCCCAGTGTCCAGCCCCTCACCAATAGCAGGCAATACATGCATTGGTACCCATGTGCCTCTGAGCTGCACCTTAATTCTTCTTCACCTTAAGACTTCTGTCCCTCTCAATAGTTAGGAAACGAATAGAATGAATCATAAATTAGAGACTGGACTTTCAGTTTATCTGTACAGGGCCTAGGCTAAGAGACCAGTCTTGGCTGACAGCTCTGGATAACTGTGGTATATGAATGAGTACAGAGGCCAGTATGTGGCACGTTCTGAAAATGTAAACTTAGTTTGAGGTTGTGTATGCCAGAAAACAGGAGTTTGCTAGCTCCTAACTTACTTCATCTACAGAGGAACTGTTTTCCTGTTCAGCACTTCAAAATATTTCTAGATTGTTGTTCACTAACTTGGGATGAACTTTTTTCCAACGGCACTGCTGTGGTAATGTCTCTGAACATAAGAAACAGAATATTTGTAGACACCAGCAAACTTTTGATACTGTTTTAGCCAAATTGTTCTAGGATGTTGTATTTTTCCTACCAGGATGGGGAAAATAGTTTGTTCTTGTAGGAAAAATACTGCAGAAGAGCACCACTAGCTCAAACATCAGTCACCAGAGTGATCATTAAAAACAATCTTTCCCAAAGCCTTTAATTATGGATGGATTCTGTTAATGAGGTGGCTCAATGGCACCATCTAGAGCCTTGGGGAAAACAAAAGACTAATACATGTGTGTTTTCCCCACAGGTGTCCTTTTATGTATTATTCTAAAACCCACTCAGTAAGTAAGGTATCTTGTCTACAGCAGTCTTTAGGAACATGAAGTACATATTAAAATAGATGCAAAAAGGAAGACTCCTTTAAGAAATTCCAAGGCCATTGGTCGATGCCTCTTGAAGTTTAACATGAGATGGTTCTCTGGCAAGAGGGAGATTGTAAGCTATGCACCTACATGTCTTTTGAAACCTAGATAGAGCTAGTAACTAGAACTGTCTCCCTGCAGAGTGTATAAAGTTCATTTTTGCCATGGCAATACACTGGCCTGGATTCAGCTGTACTTTTGGTTTTCTTTTCTCTTTTTCAGCCTTTATCACAAATTCACTGATGAATCCTATATGGATGGTGAAAACCAGGATGCAACTGGAACGGAAGTAAGTAACTGATTGAAGGAGATTGGAATCCACAGAGTGGCTAAGGGAGCCTCAGAAAACTGAACTTTCATGGTTTTACTTATGGCTCTTTGTACTTTGATAGAGCTTGCCTGGTTGTTTTCCTGACTCTCAATTCCATCTTTCCAAGCTACCCTGCTTCTGCCTGGTCAGACTAAAGGTTAAGGTTCTGTGTGTCCTACTTGTTTGATGCACAGTTACTATTGAGAATGATGTGGAAGTTGCCTTGAGTGCTGAGTTAGGTTCAGTTTCTGGTTTCACTGTAAATCTTAAGTAAAGTTGGGCATTCTCTCAGATTCCTGCTTACAGAATCTTCTGTGCTTCAGGGGTTGATATTGAGGATAAACATATCAAGGACTGAAATGCTTTGATGCACCAATAATAGAGGCTATGGAAAGGTCAGAAGAGCTGATGTGGGAGGCTGAATGTGAGGTTGCAGTCTGTGTCCCATTTGGCAACATCACTTGTACTGATCCTAGATCATACAGATGTGTGTGTCACTGCAACAAAACAAGGTTACTGAAACACAGCTAGGTAGCTGTAAACAGAAAGGGTGTTGTTTTCAAATTGTAAGGAAGCCACATTAGTTTAGTTTCATAAAACATTTAGAGGCAATAGGAATCTGTTGCTGTGGTTTAATGTTCTTTGCTTTCTTCAGCACTGTATTACTGTTAACCATACCTCCTGAAGACAGAGAGGGAATTTGATGGTAATATCTTTTAGTTGAGTGATTCACAGTCACTGGTGGATATCGAAGCAATGAGGGACTCTGCTAATACCGTGACTGCTTAGAATGGAAATTCCTTCCTGCAAGGACATGTTAGGTCAGATAAGAAGGATCCTCTAAGGCACCTCAACTTATAAATAATTTATAAGACTTAATTCTAGCACTTCACAGGGTCGCACCTTTGAACTGACTGCTGCCTCTTAAAATGAAGGATCATTCCTCACATAGCAGACCTCTGCCTCTTGGCCTGTTGAAGATGGCTTTAAATGCAATTACTAGTTTAACACAAAGCAGTGTCTCTTCAATGCTTATTGTCTTTTAAAGCATTGGTGTGAACTGTGACAGACTGGGTAGAACTTGAGCTGAAAGAATTATTGTGAGTATGTATTAGTGAATTAGCAAAGCCAAGCGTGCAGTCTTAGCATGATAGTCCTGCTCTATGCAGCTTTCCTAGAAGACTTTTGGAGTAAAACTTAGCAGAGAACCATTTCTGTAGTCTTAAAAACTATTGAAAGCCATGAGATTATTTTTTGGACTCATTATATGCTCTGTTCTGTTTGTTTTTTAGAGTCAGGGGTTCAAAACCAATGAATGCTTTGCAGTGTGCTAGATATGTTTACCAGACAGAAGGTATCCGTGGCTTTTATAGGGGCTTGACTGCCTCCTATGCTGGGATTTCCGAGACCATTATCTGCTTTGCTATTTATGAAAGTTTAAAAAAGCACTTAAAGGAAGCCCAGCTGCCCCCTTCTCCTCCTAATGGGACCGAAAGGAACTCAACAAACTTCTTTGGACTGATGTTTGCTGCTGCTGTTTCCAAGGGCTGTGCCTCTTGTATTGCTTATCCACATGGTATGTTAACTTTTCCATTTATGACTACAGTAGAACAGCTGTTGCCTGTAATCCAAGACGAATGATAGGGTTTAGGGCTGTAAAATTTGTAGTCATTTGAATGTCCAAATGCATGTTACTGTAGTGTGTGCATGAGCATTGGCATTTTCAGTACTGGTCCCACCATTCCTAGTTAGCCACATAATTGGTGATTGGGACTTCCTAGTTTAAAAACAACTCCAAAATGCCAAAAAGCAATTGAATACCTAATGCTTCTGTTCTCACTAGTAGCCTCATCTAGCTGAGTACCCACAGCCTTTGGGATTCTGTGATCAAGTGGTGGGAAACACTTGTGGGCTGAGCAGTGTTATTCTTTTTGGATAGACGTGAATCTTACCATGGTTGTATAGAAAGAGCAATATTGATTATGTGAGCATCAGTGTAGCATTTGGTTCTGTAGTAGCTTGAATGAGCAAATAATCCATTTATTCCACATGAAAGAGAACTCAACTTTAACTTTGCTTCTTGCCTGAAGGGCAATGTGTACAGGATTCCATGGCTGAAAGTACTGGCAGGCAATTCGCACAGGAAAGTTTTAATGTCCCTGGGGTTTGTGTACTCTTTCCTGGTAATGGCATGTTTCTCAATGGGAAGGTTTAAGTCTTGCTAACTTTGGGCTCTGTTTTACTTTTCTGCAGAGGTCATACGGACACGGCTGCGAGAAGAAGGCACCAAATACAAGACTTTCATTCAGACAGCACGTCTGGTAGCACGTGAAGAAGGCTATCTTGCCTTCTATAGAGGACTCTTTGCCCAACTCATCCGGCAGATTCCAAACACAGCCATTGTGTTGTCCACCTATGAGTTAATCGTGTATCTGTTAGAAGACCATGCAAAGTAGCAGAGCCAAGACTCCTGTTACAGACTGTAGACCAATTTCTTCGTTGAACAAATAGTCTTTTAAGAGACCGATGCTGGATATTTCCTTTTGGATTCATGCTTTCTGAAAGGTTTCAAGTCATTAACGTTAATAGTTAATTATAACTTTTTTTAACTTAATTATAATTAAACTGTTACTAAATTAAATGACACTATTTAATTTAAGTATATGTTTCCCTTTTTCCTTAAGCACAGCCCTATGCGGTCAAGGAATGTACCTCATACCATTAAGTGATCTCTTGGACTGATGTTCATTAAAACTATTAAAATGGGAGAAGAACTGGTTTGGAGATTTGAAACTCTGTCTTCTTACCGCTGGAGTCATGTCACTTTTTAGCACTGTAATAGCCTAATGCCCAAATAAGTTTGAGAGTTGTTCTGGTTTATTCAAGGTGCATCATTCATTGCTGTGTGAACATCCTGGAGTGTTCAAGTAGGACAATCTTGTAGTACATTTCTCCGTTTTGATGGTACGGAATATGTACACCAGAATCTCTTAGAAAAGCCACTTACACTGGCAGTATTGCTGGAATATGATTGTTGGAGGCTTTTAGTAAAAATTTAATTCCAGTACTGTGTGCACCTATGCATTTGGGATACATGCTTATGCTAGTGTGTGTAAACAGGTCTGTCATGACTTGACTTTTAGACCTTGCTTTTGTGAAGGACTGAGAGCATAAGGATAGTCAGTGATTGTGGCCTGGCTGCCCTGCAGAAATTCCTTGAGATGCAGTAACTCACTGGAATTAACACCAAAAAAATCCACAGCTTGTGTAAATAGTCTCTTTTCTTGATTTCTTACTGAGGGAAATAAGGATTGGCCAGCTTAGTGCAGCCTATTGAACAATTCTCATGTTTCCCATAGATACAGTATCTGCCTTCCACTTCAAAGACACAGTATCAAAGGGGTATTCTTCAACAGTAGTCATGATATAGTTCTTACCTTTCAGTTATAAATCAAATATCCTGCATACTTGAGATTAGTCCTTTCATAAATATTAGAATATGCTTTTAGTTTTAGTAGTCTCTTTACCACTTGCATTGCAGCATTACCTTGCAATTAAAGTATTGTATATGAATAATTACTCATAGTACAGGATAAAATATTTTAGAACTCACATGGGTAGATTTGTGTTTTGCTTTGGCCATACTATGATCTCCTATTCATTAGTGTCATTTGCTTTGGCAGCTGAGACAAACACTACAGCATTTGAGCCCAACTTGAGTCTTCTCTGCTGTTGAACTGAACAATGAGCTTCTCATGAGTTGAGCAGGTGTTGAGTTCTTGAGCGCAAACAAGTGTTTATGGACATCTTTGACTTCAGGGAGCATATACAGCAGAGATGGTGTTTGGACTTGCAAGGATCATGCAAAGCATTAAGAATCAGCCTAGTAGTGAGTAGGGCTGTCTTTTATAAGATAAAGTTTTCAGGCTAGTATTTTGTTGCAGAAATGTAATAGGTTGATAACTGGATCCAAACCTTCATTTTTGTTCTCATTAGAACCTAGCTGGTAACTGGTACTTGAGGTCATACTTGACATCAGTGTGATGAGGGTAAAATGTGTGTATACCTCATTACGAGACAAAACTGCAAAAATAACTGATTTCTGTTATGTCTTACTGAAAAGAACATATCGCATTACCCCTAAACTAAAATAGGAAACAGTTGAGTATCTAAAAACTGGCATGGCTTTTTTTATGGAGACTATGAGCAGCAAAAGCTTAGTCTCTTTATAGGAGCCAAAACTGTCATACAGTGCTGTTTCTGTTTTTGAGAACTAGGACACTTGTGCTGCTACTTTGAAATGTTTCCTGAGATTTGCTTTCTTAAATTAGTATTCCTCTGTACTTACAGTACACTAGCTCACTCATGTTAGGCAAATGTGTAGACTGCTGATATGTTTTGAGAATGAGGGGAGGGAACTGAAAAACCCTTTTGAGGAGTTTGGGACTTGGTAAGAGAGAAAGCAAAACAACGTGAACAAATTTTTTTGTTCCACCTAAACCTGATGGAAAATCAGGAATTCTGCTGGTCTTCTGGTTTTGTTCTTTAAGCTTTGCTACCAACCCTGACAGAATTAGTCTTAATTTGATGAGGGGTTAATAAGCTATATTGGGAGCTAATAGAATTTCTGAATTAGTGTAATTTAATCCTTTTTCCTTCCTCTCTCTACTAGAATTTTTAAAGTTCACTAACCCTTGATTCCTTAACCCTGTAAAGAGTTAACATTTTTAGGTGATGCTCTGTGAGCAATCCCATTGATGTCACTGAGTATGGAATAAGCCTGTTACCAGAGGGAAGAATTTGAAGGAGCTTTGTCCAGAGGGATATCTGAATTTAAAAATAAGCAACCTTTCTCTGGTTGTGAAAGAAAAACTGAAAGCATTTTTCTCTGTTCATTCCACTTCCTCAACTTCCACCAAAAGTCAATTTCATGGAAGGTAGGTAAATTTGTTACTAGTTAGAATTCCCTGGGTGATTTTCGTCCAGGTTTAGCCCTCATTACTAGACCCTTTGTATCTTAATTATCAGTCAGGTGATGAAACTATGGTCGTATCTGAAGTGACCGCAAAGTTTCCATTAACTTTACCAGGACAGAGTCTGTTCCTGTTCATAGAGTAACAGTTAAATTGAAATGACAAACACACTGTTGCTACAATAGTATGAGCTACTCATATTGGTTAATTTAGCTTTGGAAGCATTTCTTAGGCATTTGAAGATGTCTCAAGTCCTTACACTATAAGACTTACTGCTTCCCTGTAGGTATCCATGGTTGCCTTGATATCCCTCAAAATTATTTGCATTTACTGATGGTTGTGATATATGCTTGTATTGTGATTGTGCCCCTCACCATGATTCATAGTTGTTTGACGCAAGTTCCTCATTAGCTCCTTTAAGGAGGAAACTTTTGGTCAACAATCCATCTATGGTTGGACTGATACTACAGATATAGTTGATAGGAAGGGAGGGACTTCTGTATAGAAAAATAGACAAGCTCTCAAGTCCGAAAGTCCTAGAGGACTTGCAGAAGGTCTTGATGTAGGTTGTTCTTCCTCCTTTCCCTATCATTTGGTCTCATAAAAAAAAATCCCTAAATAATTGAGCTAAACAATGGAAGAGAGATGGAAAAATTGTGTCCCTCATTTAACAAGAGGAAATAATCACTGTTATTCCACAGAATTAATTTCCGTGGTTAAATCTGTAGAGCTAGAAATGGAACAGTTAAGACCCCAACCACAGTTAGGACAAGCTTAAAAGTACAGCTTACTTCCAGTACAAATACTTGTCTGTGAAGAGCTTTTCCATTTGTGGCTTTTTAAAAACCTGACATTGACACATCTTGGTTCTCCTGAATTTTAAGCAGTTCCGTCTATTGTGCTGAGAGGGTTTTTTGGTTTTAACCAGGAAAACAGCTATGCAATTTGAGGCAGGGCCAGTCTCGTATTTTGGAGATGTCTTGCCTCTTACCTTTATGTAAAAGCAGGGCGAGACTGTCAAACCACCAACTGCTTCCATTTCTCTAAGAACAGTAAATCCCACCCCTGGGTGCCAAGAGGGGCAGAGCATAAACGGGTGTTACTTTGCTTTCTAGGGGAGAGCTTTGGAACAAGTCTGACCTGGGACCTCTGACTCCCGTCAGAGACCTGAGGGCTTTCTGCAAAATTGTATTATCAATCTATTGAGAGAGAGGGGGAAAGTGCAGAGCAGCAGTCTTCAACTTCTGGCTCACAGGTAACAAACTGCCCACAAAGCCCTGTACTTCAATTCCTGCTCCACTTGCCATACTATCCCTTGGCTAAAGTGAGATGTCATTTGCAGCACATGGTTTACTGGGCGAAGCTGATAGGGGACCACAAAAGGGCGATAACTTGTGCTGTAAAATCAGTGGGGAGGGTACAGTAGTGTAATTGGAGGGATCTTCCATTTTCCCCAGACAACTAGGTGGTTTGGTAGGAAAGTACATCCCGCTTTTGAACTGTCTCTTCTTCCTCTGCCCCTGTTTTGTTTCCGTAATTCTATGAACAGCTATCGCTTTTCCTCAAAAATGTACGTTAAATTCAATTGCCATTTCTCTGCCTTGTAGACCGCGTTGTTTCCAGTTTCATTTGTGCAGGTGGCCCTTGGAGGGAAATTCTCTTCGGTGGAGGTGTAGTTTTTAAAAGCCTTTCCCCAGGCTCGAGCCTGTAGCAGTGTGAGGCCCCGGCTGCTGCAGCCACCCTTCACCGGGGTAGCACCGAGACCCTTCTCGGTTTCTCGCTCCGGCAGGGCCGGCACCTAGAAGGCCCGGAGGTGCTTTTGTAATATACAGAAAGTCTTTAGGAAAAGGAAAAAAAAAAAAAAGCCAACGAAACTCTGGTTGAAGGTGGTTAAAGTCGGC